CGCATCGGGCTCCCTGCTCGGTGGGGGGTCTGCTTCTCCCTCTGACCCTCCTCCCTCTCATGCTCTCTCTATCTCATTCTCTCTCTCAAATAAATAAATAAAATCTTTAAAATAAATAAATAAATAAATAAATAAATAAAAATCTACTATGTAGATCACTGTAGGAAAATTATAGCCATGGGCCAAATCCTATCCACTGTTTTTATATGGTTTATATGGTTGAAAAAAACATTAAAATAGTATTTAATGATATGTGAAAAATTATGTGAAATCCAAATTTCAATGTCTAAAAATAAAGTTTAGTGAAATACAGTCACACTTATTTAGTTACATATTGTCTATAGCTGCACTTGTGCTACAATAGCATAGCTAAGTAGTTAACAGAGACTATAGGCTTGAGAGCCTATCTGGACCTTTACAGAAACTTGTCTGACTAGGGCTAAATGATAATGAGTTAGATAAGCACTAATTAGAAATTATTTAAAATCAGGTAAAATTCAAAATTTGACCTTAACCTGGCTTAAGGATAAAAGAAAAAATCTTATGTAAAGATGCAATTACTCAACAAAAATTAACATTTATACTTCAGATGCTTTTCAAACACTAGAATATGAGATATATCACAAATATTTACCTGAACCATTAAACCATTTCCTAATATCCAGTGTTATTTCTAAAATGGATTTAACTAATTACACAAATTAATCCTCCTTTTGGGTACAAATAAGGTATTGCTTATCTTTGATTATTTATAAAGACCGTTTGCATGAGTAATAAAAAAATAATTATGGTGTAGGGCACCAATAGAAAAAAGTTTTTCATAATACTCACCTTTGGAAGGCCAGGCTTGGACTTGAAATTTTTGTTTCTCCTATACAGACAAATCATTACATTTAAAAATTAGAAATTATTACAAAAAACTATTATACAGATGAATGATTTCCAGGTCTCTACTAAAATAGTAGATTTATATTCCCATTTCCAAGATGAAAACACTGACTCAACTAAGCAGGCACCTTTGGGAATGAAAAAAAGCAAGGAAAAGAGAACAAGAAAAGAAATGCCTGCTCTGTAATACTGCTATAAACAGATTTAAGTCTGATAATCAGTAATGTAATGTTGTACATTCAAAACTAAAATGTTGTTTTCTTTTGACATTAATAAAGTTCTACTTTCTTATACCTATAGAAACTTTGTTTCTGTCATTTTAAGACTTTAAATAGAGGCCTAATTTCATGGATTTTTAAAATGTACTTATTAAAAAACTTAATAACTGTCCCCTTTTAGAAATTAAAAATTCTCGGGATGCCTGGGTGGCTCAGCCAGTTAAGCGTCTTGCCTTCAGCTCAGGTCATGGTCCCGAGGTCCTGGGATCGAGTCCCACATTGGGCTCCTTGCTCAGTGGGAAGTCTGCTTCTCCCCCTGCCTGCCACTCCCCGTTTGTGCTCTCTGACAAATAAATAAATAAAATCTTTAAAAAAAAAAAAAGAAATTAAAAATTTTCTTCTGTTCTTTTTTTTCTTATAATTCAGTATTATATTTACATCAAGATTTTTTTAATAGATAAAGAAAGAAAAGGAATAATGCCCAAGGCTTATGAATATGAGCTGGGGAGTCAGAAAGACCTGAGCTTGAATCTAAACTCTACCTAAATCTAAATCCTGCTAGGGTAGGATTTTTCTCTAAGTCTCAGTTTCATCAACGTGATAATGTAAAATAATGTAGAATATAATAATGTAAAATGAGGATGATAATACCATCAACCTCTTAAAAGTTATTGTGAGGATTAAATGAGTTAATTTACAATTCTGAAGTACAGCAAGACTTATATAAATTGAGCCCATTAGCACTGTTAAACATTGACTTAGACAGGGATTAAAGAATCCAATTCAGTCATACATCTAGCTAGTGGCCCAAAAATATGCTTTGAAATAGTGTCTGAAATATGTGGATACAGGGAACTAAGAACTTTTTACTGGTCCACCCTGCATAGTTATATCCATGCCTTCAAACCAGTCCTATAATCAGGTAATGAGGAACGGCAGGCTGGATAAAGGTTATATATCACTATATACGATCCCAGTCACCATTTTTTTTTCCCATGGTTCTTTCTAGTTTATTGTTTGGTAGAAAGACAGGCTCTTGAATGCTGTATAAACATCTCACAAAGTTCTTCTTCTAGATTACAAAAAGTCAAAGCAAATTTTCTTTGAGATGGGGCCCTTAAATCTGACATTCAAGTCACCGTAATAGAAACAGGAGCTGTTGTACCTAATATTCTGGAAGGCCCAGTCACCATTTTATACGGGATTTTACTGCCCAATTTGTTAGGACTGTCCAAATTAAAGGACATTTGCAGTTCAAGATTGGGAATCCTAAAAAGAGCTAAAAGTTTTTTCTCTATCTGGAGGTAGGGTCTGTCAAAGAGTAATAATCATCTCCATGAGTACATCCAACCATGATTCTCCCGGTGAGATGAAAACAAACAAATCACCAGTTTTTTGTTTTTTTTTTTTTTAAAGATTTTATTTATTTATTTGAGACAGAATGAGAGAGAGAGAGCACATGAGAGGGGGGAGGGTCAGAGGGAGAAG